TTCCTTTTTTACTATTTTCGAGTCGAACCGGGCGAGTCCGGTTTGACTTGGCGTTTTTTAAAACGCTGAATAATACTATTTGGGTCGGGTCCACATGGACCCAGACCCGGTCCTGAGCCCGATAGCGTTCAAGTCCCAAAACCCGACTCGTCGAGTCCAATTATTGGACCCATTCCTGAACCAGGTCGGATCCAGATATCACGTCGGTGTCGGTGTGGGTGCAGTACGCGTTAAGGTTTGCTTTGCTGGCACACATTACAAAAAGCGAAACCAATTTTGGTCCCTATGAATCTTTGTTACCAAAATGCTTTAATGATGACATCGTGTGTCACCCACTTCTCGTGAATCTTTTGGCTCCCCGCTCATCATTAACACTTTCTCATCCAAAATCAACATATTAAACAATCCATTAACCTCCATTACGTTGACTAATTTTTGTTAATTTGGAAAACCCAGGGCAGAAGCCCCTTGTCTTATATCCAAATTCCAAAAGCAACTCTTACTCTTAAGCGCATTCTTCATTGAGCACGTATAGCATGCTCCTAGGGGAGCATATTGTACAACAACTCCTTCAGTCGAAATATATGCTTGGAAGGATTTCATTTTTATTTTTGTTTTTTTTCGAAATTTTGGATTCATTTAAGTATTATTGGATGGTTATTTTCAAAGGAAAAAAAAATATTTTCCGAGTTCACGAACATCTAGATCTTTCCCTTTAAAAATTGGGCGGTTCTTATGCAATCTTGGCATGTCATTTTGTTTTAGGCACATAGAGAGTGAGAGTCAGATTTTTTTTTTTTTCTTTGTCTTTGAGGTTGATCATTAGGTTCTAAAGATTACATCCCCAGAATTTGGAATCTAAAAAATATTTCTGACATGAACTTTCGAAGTAGATGGACAGCATATACTCCCACGAGAGTACAGAATCCAGGGTCTTCTTTTTACTACAATAGAATAAAAAATTAATTATATTTTCAAGTTCTTAAACTAAAAAATAACACCATACGAGTTGGCGTATATACCAAACCCATGTACATGCTAGATGACTAACATGATAAACTTTTCATAGCTTTGTGAAAATTTTGAATGGAACTCAAAACATCTTGCTATGGCACCTTGTTATTCTATCCACCTAACCTTGAGCCCATTCCTATAAATTTATGGTACTAGTAAATTATACATTTACAAAAGATTGCGGAGCACACAAAAGGATGAGTTTTTGGTATGTCAAACAATCATGCAATTTTTATATGCATCCCCCCTCTAAAATCCACCTCAAATGTGTATTTTGGATCAAAATTTTAGGGGTCCATTAATTTCGTCCAATGCAATATGTTTCAAATTTTATTTTTTGACCTTTTTTTTGCTCATTTTACTTCTAAGCAAATCATATCTGACCATTTTTAGAACCGTAAAAACATGGATCTATGGCGCAACTATATTTCCAGTGATTTTTTTTTATCATATTTACATTCTAAATCCACGAAAAACCTAGATAAACTCAGAAGTCCGGATACTCATTATAGACTTTTCCGTCAAAAAATGCTCCACAACTATAAACTATTAGTCTGATGTATTTTTGCATTATAAGAGCGGTAGTTAAGGGGTTGATGCTTCAACATAACGTCTCACCCTCCATTTATATAAAAAAATAAAAAATTAATAATAATAAAGAAGGAGAATCAGACCTTTCACCTTCTTAATACAATGTATAAAAAATGGTGCTTTAGAGCCCATGTCCATACTATGGATTACTAAGTGGATTCCCTGGATGAGTATTGTTTACACCATACAAAAGATGTGTATGACCTATTTTTGCTGGATAAAAATCTAGAAAGGAAAAATTAAAATTAGGAAGGCTGATGTTTCAATATAACATCCCACCCTCTATTCCTGCCGTTAACATGTCAAAAAAACAAAAAAGTAAAAAAAATAGGATAAAAAAGATATTATACTTTTCACATTTTTAACACAATTCAACAAATGGTGCTTTAGAGCCCATGTCCATATTAAGGTTTACAAGGTAGATTCCCTATATAAGTATTGTTTAAACCATACACAAGATGTGTATGACCTATATTTACCAGATATAAATTAATAAATAAAATTGTTTCATGTGAGCTGGACCGCATTTCTATCATATGTGGTGTCAAGATATAATTTTTAAATTTTAGAGATGGATACAAATAGGTGGTCCATCTAAAGATAATCGAAACTAACTGCCTAAATATTTTTTTAATGGAATTATTATTTTTAATTTTTAAAATTTATTTATGTTTTCATATTCGTGATCTTCATGTTAGAGATTACATGTCTGTAAAAATTAAGTCCAAAAATCCATCTCAAAAATAGATTTTTAAGAGGTGACTGATTTCTACATGGATTCTTAAAAAACCGTGCAAATAAATCTAGAAAGGGAGAACTGGATTTAGGGTTATTGTTGTGTTTATTACTATAAAAGTGAGGGCTGATTTAGTGTAGAGCTATAGAAAATCTTAATAATTTTTAATTAATCAATTCATTATTAATTAATCAATTCATTATTGTAAGTCTCCTTTATAAAGCGTCGGCAGGGGCCTTCCTGTCCGCTAGCCAGATTCAGACCTCACAACCAACAGCTACGCATGCGTACCATGCACATAAATTTAAGTAGAAATGACCAAAATAACCTAGTCACCCTTCTAAATGACCATTGTCCAACATTATTTCATTCATTCCAACCCGATCGCCGGTGCCCACTTTTTTATTATTTTTAAATTTTTATGTTTTGCTTACAATCTTTCTATTTTTTATTGGTTTTTTCTCTCGGCCTGACCATCGATCTGGATCAATGATTTTTCAATCTAGATTGATTTCCTGATAGCTACACTCCACCAATCTACGTTTTTAAACACTAACTCAAAATCTTAAAAACCAACGTACGAATTAACATTATAGAGTTTTTTTCTTCTTCTTTTTTCCCCCTTATGTTCCAATTGCTCCAAGCATGTGATCCACTTAAATAAGTTGAAATTTCTCAACCAGGAGTACTATTCGGTGCACAACTGCATTCCCTTGCATTTTAGAATCCGTGTGGTTTGTATAAGGATGAGGCCCTACACAATTAAAGTAAGACATACCCTTAAATAGTATCTAAATATATTTTTTCAGTATAAGAAATCTTTTTGATAGCCTGAAAATTTTATTTTCATCTCTAATTATAAAATTTAAAGCTTAAAAAATAACATAAATTGAGTAGATTTATAAACACTTGAAAATTTACAGCCTATATAATATATTACAAGATACATTATTTTCAAAACATGAAATCTATTTTTTCTCGTATTCATACATCTTGAGATGGAGATGATCAAACTAAATATTTTTTGATATCAAAAGAACATCTTCTGTGAACTTTTGAGGTGCACCTTAATTTTATGGTTTAGGGCCTCACCCCCCTATAAACTTTTTTCTTTGACATTGGTGAAGGGTGTTTTTGTCTTTGACATAATAAGTTTCTCAGGGCATATATGTCATTTTTTTCTTGCAAGAAATATAACAGGGTCCCTACCTAGAACAAACAAGGGAAAACACAAGTAAATGCTGGCCCATCATCCTCAAGAATAAACCAGCCTGTGACAGATCAATGTCACATTTCCAACCCATTTTTCTCTTTAAGTTTTATTATCACTTCCTCAAAAACCATATCAGTCCTCAACCCCCACCTCTTATGGTGCACAACCATCCTCCAATTTCCTCTCTCTATCTCCCCACTTTCTCTCTCTAAACCCCCACCTTCTCTCTCTAGCCCCCTGAATATCCATGGCCTCAAGAATCCTTCACTCCATGACTACAAACCAGTCACTGCCCATAACCCACCAAGAAAGAGCCTCAGAGTCTGAGAAGATGGGTCTTAGGAAGAGGCTCTCTTCTCTAAGCCTCAAATACAACCCAGGTTCTCTCTCTAACAGCGCTTCTCTCTCTTACCTCTCATGGAGGAGATCCAAGTCCATGTCGTCTCTAGCAGATGATGCAGGTTTCTCAATCAAGAAATGGTGGAATTGGGGTTGGGGTTGGATCCTCTCAAAGAAGGCAGAGTTTGCTAAAGATCTTGAGATGAATGAAGGTGAGACAATGCTTGGTTGTGGCTCCAAAGGGAGGCTAAGCCATGTGTTTTCGAAGGTGAGATCTGAAATTAGGAGGATTATTAGCCCTAGACCTGCGAATAAAAAATTTAACTATGATTCCTATAGTTATGCTCAGAATTTTGATAATGGGGGTAGAAATTAGGGTCACAAAATGAACCCATTTACTCTTGGTGTATGCCAAGCTGCAATACTTGCATGGAAATTCAATATATATCATAGTTTTGGAAGTGGGGTGATCTAGGCCTCTGGGCAAAAGAATGGATGGTCCGGATCTAGATCTGCGTTATATGATAAGTCATGTACATTTGATGATGGTCTTACTATGTTGCTTCTCTCTAGGTTCATTCTTTTGTTTAAATTTGTTGTTTTCAGTCAATGGGTATCATGTGAAATGCAGTAAAGGGAAGATAGTGTACGAGTTCATATGAAGCTCCATGTATTTATTTAAAGCAACTATGAAGCTCAATGTATTTATTGAAAGCAATTCAAATAAGAGAACTACTATTTTAGAAAGATGGCTCGTATTCTTTGTGACTCAATGTTTTGGATCAGAGTTCTGAAGGCCAACCGAACTGGTGATCCGAACGTCGACCAATGTTTAGGCCGGTCTGATCCAAAGAAAAAATCAGTTTTAATAAAAAAACTCGATTAAAACTAGTGTTTGACTGGTTTTAGTTGATTAGACTAGTTTGATCTCCTATACAAAATTGGACAACACCTTTGTTTTAACTATATTTTTTTTTTAAGTACCGTTTTTTTTTACCTTTGATTATTTTAAATGGTTAGGCCGGTTTTGACTAGATCAATACTCTCACTAATTGGTGATCAGTCCGATCTTAATAATACTTATTTGTATCTGTGTCCTTTTTTTTTCTTATTTTCTTGAAGTGTGTCTTTTGTATCAAGGATTTTTGTGATTTTAGGATAGTGATATCATATATATGACAAAATTATCATTTGTTATGAAGCCTTGGGTTTGAATTTTTTGTAAATAAGTAAATAAAAACATTGCATCTTGCTCTCCCTCTCCACAAAAATGTAATCTCTCCTCTCCCCTTGTTCATAAATGCCAATACTCTCTCTCTCTCTCTAACATATACCTCGTTATCATTTATCGCAAAATCTAACATCGACTCCGCACTTTACAAAAAATGGAAAGCATTGAATTTGCATAGGACTTTCTCTTCCTAAAGACGTAGACATCACATGAAATGTCATGTGGAACATGGTGTCTCACACACAGAGGGGACAGGTCACATGTGTTGAGAGCAGCATTTTAAGACCTACTATGGATATGGTTCTTTCCTTCATTGTGCTGCTTTGGATCTGCGGTTTCCATTGATAAAAGAAATTAAAAAGTTTGGAAAAGTAAAAAAATAATAAAAATTTGCATAAAATGGTAATCTAGTGGTTCTCTAGCTTGGATCGTGATTCTGCTGATAGAATCAAATGTCAATGACAAACTGGGATGTTCTCACCGAGTCACACTGATTCTTGGTTTTGTAAAAGAATCCGGTCAATTCCCTACCCGATCTTTGATCTGGATCAGCAATTCACACTCCACATTGTCAGTTTTTAAGACAATGGTTGAGCTAGAGACAGTGAGACAGAGCACATGTTTTGTGCCTTGTTAGCTAACTTCATTACCATTTCAATAGTAAGTGCCCCACACTATTGGGAACTCACGGGTGTATGAACTCCTGGGTGGTTAGGTTATAAGGCCCCAGAGAGAAAGAGGTTCTTGAATTGTTGGGTCGTTAGGTCACAAGGCCCCGGAGAGAGAGATTGCATGTTCAAAAGAGAGAGACAGAGAGAGAGATTGTTTGGTGGTCCTGAGGCCACAGGTTTGAAGGAAAACTCCATAAAGCAGTTTGGGACATGGCTTCTATTATGAGTTCACGTAGAAATGAGTTCCCTTCTAAAAATTTATTTTTGGGATGGATTTTTTAACTCAATTTTTAAGGACATGTAATCTCTAACATGAACATCATGACTATTAAGAAGTAAATACATTTTAAAATTAAAAATAGTAATTTTATAAAAAAATTATTTGAACAATTAATTTCAACTATTTTTAGATAGACCACCCATTGCATCCATCTTTAAAATGGATACTTTATATCATGGGATGCAAATGCAGGAAACCATGAAACGATTTATCTTGGAAGGCATATATGTCAAGTCAGAAGTGGACCCCATGAACTTGGCGTAGATATAAGAATTTATAAATGAAAAACTGAATGTGAGATTGCAACCTCAAATTAAGGTGTAACTTAAAATGTAATAAAACAATTACTACAAAATTTTTCAATTGATCATCTGGACCTCAAGATGTATTGATATAAAGAAAAAAAAAACAATTTCTAAAAAAATGCTTCTTGTAACAAGTTAACTGGACTTATTTAATTTCAAGATTTTCAAGTGTTTATAGATCTGCTCGATCTGCACTATTATTGAAATTTAAATATCAAAATTAGGATTAAATATAGATTTTTAGGCCATCACAAGGCTTTCGATATCATAACTATATTTTCCAGCAAAATTTAAGGGTGCACATTACTTGTATATTATAATGTGAGCACCTTATACAAACCTCACCCTCTATAAATCGATGCAGTTATATATGGTACCAACCTTAAACAATCAAAGACACACATCTCCAAACCTCTATGATGCCCAGAAAATTTGTTTTAACCTTTAATTATGGATTTTATCCTTTAAAAATAGTACAAGATCTGCAAACACTTAAAAATCTCAAAAATAGATATCTCTAGATAATATGTCAAAAACCTTTTATTGTAGTTTTTGGAGGTATACCTTACTTCTATAATATAAGATCAGCACATGATAAATTTTTCTTTATAAATATTTGAAATAGATAATTAACATATGGTTATAAAACAAGGCAAAAGCTTACTTTGTAGCCCCAACAATATATAAGTTATATGTGACCCCACTTCTCAGTCGTTCAACCAGAATTGGCAGCTACGATTGCTCATGCCACAATGTCATGCCAAAAAATTAGGCGAACTTTGAAAAAATTAAAAACAATATTTCCCCTTAAAATAAATGACCAAAATGCCTCCAAAATTTTTAGGGGTATTTTGGTAATTTTTATCACTTAAAACCTTTTTTTTTATTTTTGTTAGGTGCATGCCTATCAAATCTATGCATGACCCACATTTTGCTTGAAAATGATTTATAGGATAAAAATTAAAAATTAAAAACTCTAAGCGGTCGTATCAGGATCTCACAGTTAAGAGCCAACTTGTGACATTGTAACTCGAGCTATCTCACCTATGTACTAAGATTTGACGGCTAAGATGAGGAGTTACATATACTATATATGAGGGTGGGGTCACATGGAAAGTTTTCCTTTATATACGGTGCCCCCTGAAACATTCAAAGTAAGACACCCTCCAAACTTCACCAAAGATGCAATTCCAATGCAAAAAACTAATGCAATTTAGATAATGTGTTAAAAGATGAACCATTTAAGGCCTAAAAAATACTGCAAACCGATCAAATATAAATACGCTTAAAGTTTTTGAAAATGGATAATTTAGATAATGTGTTAAAAGATGAACCATTTTCAAACATGATATTTTTTTTCTCTGTATTCATATATCTTGAGGTGGAGATACTAAGTTGGAGGTTTTTTTTAGCAACAGAACAACTTTTTTAGGTGGGTTTTTAATGTGCCATTTACTTCGATAATATAGGGTTGACACCTTATATAAAAAAATTTCAAAAAAAGTATTACAAGATGGACTTATTGTAAACGCTTGAAACTAAACTCGATACTTATGAGAAAAGTATTTTGTAAGACAGTCCACTCATGAATCCAATCTGGTTTTTAAGGAATTAGGACTCTAAACATATCTCAAGCCACGATAAATCCAGTTCAACCATTTGAATATCCAAAAGTAATACAGATCTCATGATCTTTGAAGAATTAAAATGAAAAACAATTGTTACATGCGGGCTGGACCGCATTTGTACAATATGTGGTCCAAAGGTATATTGCATCCTTCTAAAAATAATTGTAACTAATGGTTCAAATGTTTTTTTAATATAATTATTCTTTTTTAATTTTTAAATTTATTTATTTTTCCATATTCTCCATGTTAAAGATTAGATATTCTCTAAAAATTAGGATCAAATTATAATTAAAAAATATATTTATTGCCAAGAGTACATTTGTGCATGTGCGGGCTTGGCCGCATGCTAACCGCATCCTAAAATGAATGTTCCAAAAAAAATTTAAAATCTATATCATTTTTAAGGGACAATTTTTTTTTTTTTAAAAAAAATTTATGATCATTGAAAAAAATATTATTTGCAAAAGAAGATTTTGGGATAGTGGAGGTGTCTCCTCACCCTACCCACTTGATTCCGTGCCCATTGAAAGTACCTTTGGTGGCCGTGTAAGAAGCAACAACCTAGAGGCTTGTGTGATGGCCTCAATGTCTAATATCTCGGACTTCAAAAATTTTGAGCCTGATTTCTTAAGAAAACTGAAATGTTGATTTTCAGCTCATGGTGCTCACAGCGTCATTTTTTATGGGGTCTAAATAGTGATATCAACATAAGAGCAAAAAAATTATGCATATGTGATGTTTATATTTTTTCATGGTTATTTTTTGAATGAGTTTGCCTTAATTTATTTCATTAATATCAAAAGTTTTCAAGTTCCGGTCAAATTGTAATTAAGAGGTCTACTTGCATTAAAATAAGGATTAGGTGTGAATATAGGGCTAAGTTAAGGTCAGGGTTGATTTATAATTTTAGAAAAAAATTTAGAGGGTGTGGTTTGTATAAGGCTGAGGCTCTAAACAATCAAAGAAAAGTGCACATTCAAATAGTGCTGGAATATGTTGTTTCAGTATAGAAATCTTTATGATAGTCTTAAAATTTATTTTCATATTACATTGTAAAATTTAAAGATAAAAAAATAGTGTAGATCGAGTAGATATATGAACACTTAGAAATATTGAAAATTGACGGTCTAGATAATGCATTACAAGATACACTCTTTCCAAAACTTGAAATATATTTTCTCCCATGTCCATACATCTAGAGGTCGAGATGATCGAACTAAGGGTTTTTCATCATCGAAATATCTTCAAAGACTTATTGCAACCTTCTAGAAAATGGCCCCACTCTCTAGCAACCGTCCAAGACATTGATTAAATGGTGATGACACTCGTGACCACATATCCCTTCGATCATGAGATTGAAGGATACTCTTTCCAAATCACTTCTACGTACTTATAGCCACAATCATCGCAAGTATTTTGTCTCCCTTTTAATCATAAATGCAAGGGATACTTATAAAAATAAACTTAGTATTTGAAATATGTATATTTTATTAAATCTCAATTGCCAAATCATGATCACATCTATTTTGATGTGCTTTCTTAAATAAAATTTAAAAGATGGATAAAATGTTAATAGTTTATTCTTAGATGCATTTTGATAAGTTTATCTTAAAGTACAACATAAATAAACAA